TAATAACGGAAGGCCTAATAATGTTATAATGTACCAACATTATGAACACTTGCCTTTTATTGTCATTATACACTCACAATGAACTTAGAGTAGGCTCGTGCTACAGAGAGAGTCACTCATGAATGCTGTGACCAGTGGCACATGCAGCTCTTTCTGGCTCTGATCAGAGAGACGTGTCATGTGAAAAACATTAGCTTATGGCTTTGGCTAGTTTAGCGAGTTCCCATTGGCTGCGCTCCAGTCCGGAACAGCTGTGCCGTCAGTGAATCCTCACCGCTGCTGGAGCGCGTTATGGAAGAGAGACAAAACGAAACACCAGATGCATTTATTTCCACACAAGACCCTGTAGTTTCTGGGCAGATGAAGCATTCAGAGATGTTTAGGTAAAGAAACAGCAACTGTTCTGTGTGTATAAAACACATTTCACCGTCTAACACCGGAGTCTCTTCATGTCCCGCGATTGCTGTTGATGAGAATTCGACCTTGGGTTCTCTCATTGAAATTCTGCTTCATTGGTTGTAATATTAGCCGTCTGTCTCCAGAGAGGCTCCACACAACTCCATTAACATTTAAATTAATTCGGATGTTCTTCAATTCATTTTAGTTGTCACACGTATTAAATGTATCTCTGTAGAATGCCGTTCACATTGTGTTGGTGTTATATTTACACATAAATAATGCATCTTGCCTTTGGCTGCAGTCTGTGTGGAAACATGAAGCTAAAGACGGTTTGAGCTCCAGGCTTCACCTGACCTTCCTGGATCTTCTGAAACTCTGACCTCCTGAGCCTGAAAGCATGAAAATGGTGCACTTTTGAAATGGAGTCCATTTTAATTGATTCTAAACAATAAATGCATTACAAAGATCAATTCAGTACAAACTGCAGTCCTGCTCTGGTGAACTGAGCTGAGGTCGACCCAGCACTACACGACTGTAACTACTGAGTTATCGTTTCTATCCTGTTTGACTTGTGTGCTAGTGTTAGCATGTTCTCCATCAGTAATGAAAGAGAGTTCCTCATGTGCTCAGCGTTGAGCTAGCATGTTGTGCGTTTAGCATCTATGAATGAAACGTCCTGCTGTCGGTAGAGTTTCGTTGTCTCGTTATCGATGCCTGTTCTCCATCTAGGAGCTGATTTTGAGGTTATTAAGCATCTGTGTCCTCATCGTTCTGCAGTCGGCGGTGTGTTTCTCAGCGTGCCTGTGGTTAGTCTGGGACGGGACGCTTGCTGATGATGTAGAGCTCTGTCAGGCCGCAGATGGAGGATGACCCGCTAGCGCTGACCCCTCTAGCCGCCGCTGCACACCTGCGAGAGCGCTAACCTAGTTTAGCTGTGACGGCACTGCGGTTCGGCCTGCGGTCTGCTGAAGGGACGCATGGACACGTCTATTTGTCTTCTCTGTGGAGACGCATGGATGCGGGACAGATGCTGCTGTGCCACTTAAATCCCAAGTGATTGAAGAGCACTAGTTGGCCATTAACGCAAATCTGACAAATGAGTTAGTCTGCCCTCCTAAAGCAGCCTCAGCTGATGGAAACAGCAGGATGATGCAGAAATCAGGCAGAGTTACTCCAGTAATAGTCTGTTTCTGCTTGCTGACAGCGCTTTGAGCCTTTCAGAGTCTCCTCACGCTAACTAGGCTTCAGTCTGGTGTCTGATGGACGTTCATGCCATGATGATGAGCCTCCTAACTAGCTTGAGCCTTGAGCAGAACTTAATGTTGAGCTAATTATGTGTTCGCTCTATCAAGTTTATCTTCGTGTCCTTTAGTTCTGGGAAGGTCAGGAGAGAGAAGAGCTCCCGTATTTTGCGTCACATGATCTTTGGTGTTTTTTTGGTGTCCTCACATCTGCAAACAAGCCCTGTCTTTAGAGTCGCGGTCATTATTGTGGTGGAGCGTGAAAGGATTCGCAGGATTTGTCTGTGTGTGTTTTCTCCAGCTGGTTTATCAGAGGGTGTAATAATTACACATGGTGGGATTTATCAGTGCAGTATGAGCTTGACTGGCCAACATCCATCTAATGAGCCTTAAACTATCATGCGCTGTCGCTCCTTAACTGTGCGATTGCCTCATTTAATGACACTATATGTGACTATTTGCTAAGTGTGAGCTCCATAAAACACACATGAATGAGCGGGAATCAGGGTCGGAAATGAATGGGAGTTTGGGGCAAAAATGCCACCAAAATGAACAAGAATAACTCCCAAATTCAAGATGTGGGGGCACAAAATGTGCCCCTGCACAATAAGCTAAGTCTGTTGTCTGTTGTGATTATAATAAGCCATTTCCCCCATACAGGAGCTCTGTTTGTTAGGATGCAGTGGGAAGTAATGCTGTCTGATTGTGTGTATGGACTGAGGATGTGTGCATGAGCGAGTGTGGAGAGCCATAGCGGAGCTGCTGCTCAGTAATTGGCTCTGAAGATGCCTGTAATCTGATGTGCGGCTTTGTAAGATTGATTGTATGATCTGTTTTGGTCTGTGTTGAATCCCGAGCGTTTGGGATCCTCATCTCAGTTAGTCTCTGTCTCCATTTTTCAGGGATTATCTCACAATCCCGTTCAGTGGATTATTTATGTTCATTGTTTCCAGGGCCAAACAGTTTAGCTCATGCTGTTGGCAGTAGTTTCTCATGTGTTTGAGGAGAACTAAGCCAGCGTTTCTCTGTCTGTGCTGATGTAGATGAACAGGTATTGGTGGTGTCTCCTCCGCTGGAGTCTCGTAGCATGCGTGTCGTCCCCTGACGGTGGGGCCCCTGCTGACTCGGCCCTCGGGCCCCTGGAGGGTCGTCTGGTGTCGGACGGCTCTATTCCCTGAGGTGACGCCAGATGACAGCAAACAATGGCTCTTATCAGACTCGCGGCTGACCTTAATATGAGGCAGTTATTCCTGCGGGTCGCCTGCCGTTATGAATGCTGTGGGCTTTATTGTGAGATTGGGTCATGAGCTCAGCGCAGATGAAGGATTTCCCAGTCAGTTTGTGACGATGGCCACTGCCTCATCCAGCAGCTGCGCAGCGGGAACATCGACTGAGGACCGTCCTCTCGGTTCCCACTGGTAGAGAGCCGCTCCACTTGCAGGAAGATCACTGGCTGTGCGTTTGGTCAGCAGTCATCCATCCTCTCCTAATGTTACAGTGCTTACAGTCCGGCTCTGCGGGGAAACCAGCAGTTCAAAGCCAAGCCAAAGCTCTCTTTACTGAGACCACACTACAGATGATTTTATGTATTTACTACAAATGACTTTATTATTAACAGTCTAATCATTAGTGAAGGAGCACTAAAAGATGTATCACCTTCCAGCTAAAAAAAAGACCATTCACTTTATTTGTGAAGACATCATGTCATCTTTTTACTGTGAAATTGGTTTTATTTTTTCTGATTCTGTTTTCCATTATAGTTTTTCTTGATTCCATTCTATTGGCTTAAATTTTTAGTCATCAAAAAAAAAAAAAAATTGACTTATTTATTCCCAAATTCTATTTATTTGTCCTTACAAATTCTGCGTTTACTTGCAATTTTTCCGGATTCTGAAGTGAGAACATGAAAAATCTCTCGATCAGGTTATGTTCCTTAAAGCATTTTTTAATAAATGATGATCTAATGAAGAGCTTCGAGTGTTTGTGTGTATTAGACATATTGTAATGAGTGGTGAAATGAGTGTGCTCATACAGTGAGATGCAGACGAGCATCACTTCAGTACACGAACTGACACGCACATCATGCCGACTTCACGTTTCAATTGCCATTTGAAACGATTAATTGTTCAGCCCTACTTTTGATTAATTCTTCCCAAATTTGCCCAAATTCCGTGACATCTGCACTAGTAGTTCAGTTTTAGTGAATGGACTGTGTTTCTGCATCATGAGAGTCACATGCCTCATATTGTTAGCTGGGCCAAACTTGCTCATAGCAGCAGTGTTGTTTTATTGGAGATTTGTTGTGTTGTGTTTATTTGGGTTCTTCGCTGCAGTAGATTGAAGCTGCGTTCACATGATGAAAATGACTGGAGGAGTGAGAGACTGAACTGAAGCTGCTGTGATCTGAGGAGAACGAGTGCTTTGGTTTGGGGAGTTTCCCCTCTAGATCATCTCAGGATGACTTTGTTTTACTTTAAGCTTTTGCTGTTGTCATTCAGTATGCAGACTGTCAACCATCTTTCTTGTGCTTTGAGAGAGAATGTGTTTTTCTTCACCCTCACAGCCCTCAGTCACCCTTAATAAACACATTTATGAGATTTTATGGCAGGCACTTATGACAGAGCTTTGTTGTTTCTGTGGAGAAGCTCAGATGAATAGCTCACACATGGCTTCATGAGAGATGAGGTGAGGCGTTTGCTCTGCGCTGAGGCCCCTGAGGGGCCCGGAGGTGTCTCTCATGCCAGCTGAGGGCTGCTGGGATTGAGCGTGTGTGGAGTGGAGCGTGAGATGTGATCTGGCCTGTAAGCGTTCACTGGACTGTGGAGAACCACACTCATTATGGGAGGAGATGTGTGCATCTGTGTGCAAATCAACAGGAACATGAGCAAACCAGATTCAGTGCTCAGAGGAATTTGAGTGTGTTTCACATGTTATTGCAAGACTCAACGATGAGGATTTTTCGTTCTTTAATTTATTTATTTTTTTGACACATGTAACTTTGTATTCTAATAAATAAGTTTGTGACTCTGAAATTTTAGATACCAGTGTAATTTTACAATTCTTGTTTCAATTTAGATACAACAGCAAAAACTACCAGACTAACTAATATTGGTCAAACATTATTGAAGACAAGCGAACAATCAAAAACAAAACAAGGGGAAAAAAACAAATGACATGTAATAGCACAACAAATACCTGAGTGCAGCACAAAGTCCACTCTGCCATCGGGCCAAATCATGGATCGATTAAAGAACATTTTGGGCCAAATAATAATTGCTTTTGATAATCATCTTCATCTTCAATGGTTTTCGTCAAAGTAAGAGGAGCGTGAGTGTTTGCTAATACACTGCCTGACAAAACTAACTTTAAACTGCTCTGAAAGTGCTGCATCTCATCTAAAAGTCACACATATAACACACCGAAGACCCTTCAGGTCACCTGATCTTTGAGTGTTTTCATGATCTTGCCCGTCGCTGTTTATCAGACCGGTTTCAGCTCAGCCCAGACCTGAACACGTGTGATGATGTTGGCGTGTGCTCTCAGCTCAGATTACTGCCTCCATATCCGCTTTAATTAACAGCCAACTTTCTGTTTTCCTCTCAGCAAACAAACACTGCATCAATACCGGTCACCAGCAGATTACACTTCAATTACGAGATTACTGCGGGAAAACTGCCCAATATGAGGAGGGTGAACATGTCATTATGGAAAACCTGAGATTACTTCAGTGACACAAACACCAAGAAGACGCTGAAGACAAAGCTGTCAGCAAATTAATCCTCAGAGACGCTTGAAGTCTTCCGTTAGTGTTTGACGTGCTAGAGAGGAAAACACAAACCCTGCACTGAGAGCGTCTAGAACTGAGAGCGTCTAGAACTGAGACAAACAGCATGCAGGAGCTTTGATTTCAGGATCCAGTTGTTTCCACTCTTCAGTGATCTTCTGCACAGTTCTGAGTCTCGTGGCACTGCATTCTCGATCAGTTTTTGATGGTTCTTTTTCTGAAGCTCTTTCTTTCCAGCCCAGTTGACTTTCCTCCGTCCTTCAAACACAATGATGAACCACTGGAAGAGCTGTGAAACTCACAGTTCGAACTTCTTTAATTGCGCTCTTAAGTAAGTAAGCCCCAAACAAGCCCAATGACTCGAGGCACGATTAATAGCGGCGTGCTCATGTGAGCTGTTATCGTCGGCTCAGAGGCGTGTGTGTCTGGCCCGTCCTCATGGGCGTCTGCTCTGCTGGCGGGGGTCAGCGTAATTTAGCTGCATCTCACTCGCTGGGGCTCAGATGAATAAATCGAGGGAGCGGGGAGCATCTGGGGAGCTCTCAGGATTGTCTTACTGTCACAGGACTGTTGAATAGGTAACAAAGAGTAAAGCGGGTTAGTCTCACCAGGGGCCCGTTAGTCCCAGCGCTGTGATGAAGTATATTGTCCATATGTATCGCTGGTGTAATTAATGACGGACGGCGAGCAGCTTTCAGCAGAAGTAATTAAGAAATTATTTACTGCAGGTGTCTAATCAGGCCCTGATATTTTGTGCCGTCCGTGTGGAGAGAACAGAACCCGTGGAGCCTCATAAATGAACCAGTTTATCAGTGCGAATAGAGCAGAATGGCCACAACCTGGCCTCTGCTCTGTTCTGATGGGTCGTGTGGCAGGAGTGGCGAACAATGATGAATGCTAATGCTGAAACAGTGTAGAATCATAATCAGAAGAGCTTTATTACCAAGTATGTTTACACACACAAGGAATTTGACTTGACGAGAGGAGCTTCCAATGCAGAAGAAAGTACAGACATAGTGCAGACATACAAAGGAATAACACAGTAGGTGGAATATAACACTAATATAAGAAGAAAAAAACCCGGAAATTAAATAATGTGAAAGTGAAAGTGACATGTGGCCAAGTATGGTGACCCAATTAGTGCTCTGCATTTAACCCATCCAAAGTGCACACACACAACAGTGAACACACACCGTGAACACACACCCGGAGCAGAGGGCAGCCATTTATGCTGCGGTGCCTGGGGAGCAGTTGGGGGTTCGGTGCCTTGCTCAAGGGCACCTCAGTAAAGGTGGGAGAGAGCGCTGTACATTCACTCCCCCCACCTACCGGTACGAGACTCGAACCCTCAGACAAACTTTGGGTTACGAGTCCGACTCTCTAACCATTAGGCCACGACTTCCTAATGTACTGTATACAGAAATAGAAGTATAGGAAAAAATGTACAGATAAAGTGTGCAGTTTACAAGTGTACAAATTTTGGATTCTGTGTATGAATATGCCAGTTGTGATGGATGATGTATAATTATGAAAGATTTAATTGTTCAGACTGAATATAGCCTGCGGGTAACACTGTTCTTGTGCCTGGCTGTTCTGGTGGTCAGTGCTCTGTAGCGCCGACCAGAAGGCAACAGTTGGAAGAGAGAGTGGGCTGGGTGTGAGGGGTCCAAAGTGATTTTCTTAGCCATTTTCCTCACTCTGGAGATGTAAAGATCTTGGAGGCTGGGCAGAGGGGCACCAATAATCCTCTCAGCAGTCCTGACTGTCCGCTGTAGTCTCTTGATGTCTGATTTTGTAGCTGAACCAAACCAGACAGTTATGGATGAACACAGGACAGACTCAATGATA